CATTGACTGCTAGGTATCCCAAGAAGCTGGTTCAGACCTACTCTGTGTTTCCAAACCAGGATGAGATGAGTGACGTTGTTGTCCAACCATATAACTCTCTGCTTACGCTGAAAAGACTGACTCAGAATGCAGACTGTGTGGTAAGCAGAGGTCTTCTTGTGAACTAGAGCATGTTTACACAATCTGGTTATAAGACACTGAATATGGGATGGTACATTTTGGCAGCCCCCTGCAAAATATGATAACATTTTCATTATGTAGGTTGACTAGACTGAAGGTCTTTCTAGCGTTAACATAGACCTGCTGCTCTCGGCAGCCATCTGGTGAAAGAGATATATTGCTCTATGAGGTCTTGGTCCTTTTTTCAAGTTTCTTAAATTTGTTTTTTGGATGCTTCCTCATGATTTGGTAATGTTCACATTTGCTGGCTACAATTCACCACCTTTTCTAAAGCAGCATTTTTTTATATTTCAACGCTTCACGTTGAGTCAAGTTGCAGAGTCTAGGTCATTCAAGGTGGAGCAAGTGGAGTGCGTGCTGTGCATCACAGAGCCAGAGTGAGGACAATAGCCGTCTGTAAGGCAGGACTGTGCTGCTCATTTGTTAGGCAGTTGCTTGATGGATTTATTTAACACACAAGCAGCCTTTTCTTTAAGGGTCTGTAAATATCGCATTCCCGACGTCAGTGTGCTGATTACTGGTTCCTAGAATGCAAATTCCAAAATAAGTGGCGGAAAATGCATTTTATCTAAACAGTGAACAGGCATGGGACTTCATCTGTAATTATTTCGAATTAGTGACAAATAAAATTCTACGTGCTCTCCTGGTACCAGAACAGATTGGCCTTGAGCACAATGGTTACAAAAGGGATATTGTTTATAATAGTTGATACCTCCAGCTGTAGGGTTGTGGTTAGAATCCAAATCCTTATTTCACTCTTTCTGTGCCTGTGCTGCCTGTGTCTCTCCTTGCCTCTTTCTTTCTCTAGGTGGTGCTAGATAACACAGCTCTGAACCGCATAGCCACTGACAGACTGCATATTCAGAACCCTTCCTTCTCTCAGATCAACCAGCTGGTAAGGAGCTGCTGCAGGCACTGGGCAGGTTTCCTCCCTCGTTGCATCATGACTGAGGAAGGGCAGCAAACTTTGGCTGTCACGTAACTGCTCATTGCAGAGCCCACATTAAAGTGGTGAAGAAGTAACCCGTGAATTTCAGTGTGGAATTTTATGGTTCATAATTATAGTTTAAGGGGGTGTAATTCTAAATATTGCCTCTGTTTGGATAATGTCAGATAAGAAAAGGAATGTGCTGAGTTTTATTCTTTATAGCCAATGTATTACAATATCTTGTCTAACCAAATCCTGAGGCCATGAAGTGAAAGCTCAGATGTTTTTCTTACATTTTGAGAAAATGAGCGTTTGGTGAAAGGAACCTTTTCCAAAACTAAAATCTGGGACACTTATTTGATTGTGGTATCTGGATAACCTGTTAGAATAGATTAACACCTAATTTCTGTTCCTGTAAGAATCTTACTTGTCACCCTAAATCTCCTCACTCGTTTAGAAAACTGTCACAAACCCGTTCTCTTCCATGTCCTGTGCAGAAATGTTCATTTTGTAGCTATTGCTACAAGCTTTAAACAATAAGATGACTGTGTGGCTTAATTCTTAACAACGACAATTGAAGGGACTTGCTATTAACAACTCGGCTAAGCAAGAAGTCACAGGATTCTCATATTAGATCCTCATATTTGTCACTTGTATTCAGAACCTTTGCTTGTGTTCTCATGCATTAAATTGGTGTAGTCATGTGGTGTGTTAAGGTCGTCTCAGGACAAGTTGCAATCCATTGCTAAATGTCCCTTTCTTTGTCCACTTGCCAGTTTTCATCATGTTACAAATCAACTTCTGCTTCAAAGTGCTATAGTTCACATTTTGCATGGGAAATACTTAAAATATTGTGATCTTAGTTTTAAGGTTTTTCATTTGGAATTTTTTTTCTGTTTTTTTTTGTGTAGGGGGAGGAGAGATATTATTTTTTTTTGTTTTTATATGTGTTTTTTATCGGGGATTTTTCTATATAGCTGTGGGTGTGGGTTTTAGCCGGGGAGGTGTCTGAGCTGTTTTTGGTGTGTGTGGGTTTTTATAACTCTTTTTTTGGGTTTTTTTTTTATATTTTCCCTGTGGGGTCTCTATTTTTGTTTTGTGTCTTGTGAGATCTCTTTTGAGGGGGTGTCGTGTACTCTGTGTTTTTCTCACTTGGCTATATTCATGACCTAAGGCCACTCTGTCCCCTGTAACAGGTCTCTACCATCATGTCTGCAAGTACCACCACCCTGCGGTACCCTGGCTACATGAACAATGATCTGATTGGTCTAATTGCATCCCTCATTCCCACGCCCCGCCTTCACTTCCTCATGACTGGCTACACGCCTCTTACTACTGACCAATCGGTAAGCTAGAACTAGCTAGAAATTATTGTTGAGAATTCTCTTCTGCCTATGAAATCATGCCATTTCTAAAACGATATGCTAAATTGTTTGTGATGAGCAATTGTTAGCTTGACGTGGACATAAACTCTGCTGATTTAGATTTTGATTTGGCTATGAGTACACTAACTTAAAAAACTGAGTGCAAACTAGGTGTGACAAATGTCCAAAACACACAGTTTAGTTGTTTATATACGATGATGAAGGTGTCATTTTGAATGTTTAAAAATGCCTCTGATACTTTGGAGTGAAAAAGTATGAGATTTCCACCCACCAAGAACTTGAGATTGCCTGAGAAGACTTTTCCTTACTGTGTATTTACAAAGCTTTTTTCTTCAAAGATGAAAAACATTGAACAAATTGTCCTTTAATTGGGTAAATAATCTTTAAATGTGCCTGTGTTTTTGTGTGTGGATTTTCATTTCGTTGAAGTTGGTGTTACTAATGCATGCCAGGGAGGTGGTTTTGTGTTGAAGGACTTTTAAAACCTATTAATTTTCAGTCAACTTAAATTTCTTTTGCTTCCTAGAAGGATTGATTTGAACTCTTTGATCGTGTCCAGTCTTTAAACATGTTGCAGGTTGCCTTTTAAACTATTTATTTTCACAAATAACCTGAGATCTCCAGGTTTAGAGTTGAAAATAATCTTGTAACCGTTTCAGTCAAGCACCTTGTTAATCCAATTGTTAATTGTTAATTGAAGGATTCAATTCAAGTGCTCAGCCAGAAAAAAAATCACTAGGTGTTGGGGGGTCCCCAAAACCAGGGTTGGGGGGGGGGGCCCAAGTATTAGGCTCCCTACATAAAATGCCTGTCAATAAGAAGGCGGTATTTAAAAGTGTCCTAACTTTACTGCATTGATGGAAAGGGGATATGCTTACAGGAGAAAGATGTATGTATTAAACTTTCTTTTGTAAAAAAAATCTATAGTATAGAAGTCCTTTCTTTTCCATTTTGAAATGGGCTGTTGCTGGAGCCCCGTGCCTGAACCTGGACTCTGTATCTTTGCCCTTGCGGCTCTGGCCTGCCTGACAGGTGGCGAGTGTTCGGAAAACCACAGTGCTGGATGTGATGAGGCGGCTACTGCAGCCCAAGAATGTCATGGTGTCTACAGCCCGGGACAGGCAGACCAACCACTGCTACATCGCCATCCTCAATATCATCCAGGGAGAAGTGGATCCTACCCAGGTACAGCAGCCTGCAGGACACTTTTCAGCTCAATTCAGCTGTGACAGTCCTGCTGCACAGGAGTATCTTGCACCCCTATAGCCGTTCTACTCTTGGTAGTTACTTGGGAATGTGATCCTGTAGTTTTTTTCACGTTTTTCTACTCTTGTAACATTTATACATGCCTAACATGAATGCAGGCTTATATTACAGTAATAGGTGTCTCTTACTATGCTGCAGCAGTATTTCACAACTGATGCTTTTTTTTTTGCCGATCAGCATTTATAAAATTGTGCAGATGTTTTAATTTTGTGGTATTGTTTTTGAGCGTACAAATCTGAAGTGTAATGCATCAAATGATGACGTGTTTGAAGGGCTTTTATTGTTCTATGGCTCTAGGGCTGTTCAGCAGATCTCTATTGTCCAAGGGGCAGGGTCTGCGTGCAAGCTGTTCTCTCTCCCCTCTGGGGTTTGAGAGTTTTCCAGGTGACACAGATTGTAGCTGGGCGTCTCTGTCAGAGAATTAGCTCTTAAGAAGGAATGCATTTGACAGGCTTCATTAAAAAGTGATTCAGCGTCATGTGTCTGTGACACTTAAGTGCACGCACTGTTGCCGCTGAGAGAGCTGACTGTTGTGCCTCTCCTTTAAGCCAGATGTCCGTACTTCAGATGGCTGTATTTCATTTCCTGAGTCACAATATCAGCTTCACCCCTCTTCATTTACTTTAATTCTTAACAGACAGGATTGCGCTCGAGAAATTGTGACATGTCAAGACTGTTGGTTGCCAGGAAAAAAAGAAGACTAATGACCAGTTACCACATCCATGACTTCAGATATTGTGATAGTGTCTATTGAAATCTCTTATCTTCCTACAGGTGTTTTCTTTTCAGAATTATCTAGAATGCTTATAAAAAATAGAAAATACAGTAATACAGCAACTACTCAAATACCAGATCAGTATTCACTTGATAACTTGTGTGTAGTTTTTTTTGTTGCAGAACTATTCTGTACTATGTATATGCCACAGATATCTGCAAAGAAGCAGATCCTGGTAAATCCACTGAAAAACTAAGAAAATACAAGACAATTGTGCCCTTGACCATTTTACGTGAGCAGTAATTTCAAAACGCCATGTGATTCCAGGTGCACAAAAGCTTGCAGAGGATCCGAGAGAGGAAGCTTGCTAGTTTTATCCCCTGGGGTCCTGCCAGTATTCAGGTGGCTCTGTCCAGGAAGTCTCCCTACCTGCCCTCCGCGCACCGTGTCAGTGGGCTCATGATGGCCAACCACACCAGCATCTCCTCTGTAAGCAGTCTTGCCAGCCTTTGCATCGCTGCACTGTATCTGAATGTTTCAGCAAAACCCTTTGGTTTGAAGTAGCTAATTAAATCTCTTTGCTCTTTGACATTTTGTTTAGAAATGTGCCATCCTGCTCAGTTTTGTTTTCACTTTACCCTTAGGGTTTAGCTGGGTTGGTTTAAACTGGGATAACAATGTCATTTAGGTTCCAGATTAACGTGATTAATAAAATAGAAACTCCCCTAGCAGGATGGCTACACAGGCAGGGATTGAATTCTGCAAAAAGATCAAATAGTTACGGCTAGGTAGACAAATTGTTCTCCATGGTCAGTAGCCCCTGTTTTCAGACTAGGAAGTTTCCCACTGCCAAAAGCAGCCTAAATTACTCTTATGGTAGCATCCTGGTATGGGTATTCGAGCTATTTCGAGTGTTGTTTTTCGTTCCTGCGAAGGCGGTTGTGACACCGAGTGTATTAAAGCTTTTCGAATGTGAAAACCCCCCCGGCAGCTCCAGCCAGCGGAGAGCGCTCACTCACCTCTTGTTCTCGTCTACAGCTGTTCGAGCGGACCTGCAGGCAGTACGACAAGCTGCGGAAGCGCGAGGCCTTCCTGGAGCAATTCCGGAAGGAGGACGTGTTCAAGGACAACTTCGACGAGCTGGACAACTCGCGCGAGGTCGTCCAGCAGCTCATCGACGAGTACGGCGCCGCCACCCGGCCCGACTACATATCCTGGGGGTCCCAAGAACAGTGACTGCCCCCCCCCTCTCCGGCGGGGCACCCCCGTGCCGTTTTCGTGACTTTAAAGAAGAAACCCCCCCATCCCCTCCCCCCCACCCTGTGACTCCTTCTCAACCCGTATAACTACCTGCCCAGGGAGATCTGAAATAACATCCGTCCATGGTGGAGGTAACGGCAAGTTACACACGAAGAGGAATGAACCATTTTCTGCAGATCTGCCTTGGTTGGTTTCTCCAAGTCTGCTCTGTCTCCCTTGCTGAGGAAGGGGGTCCCGTGAGTCCTGTCCCCCTTGAGCGCTTCGCCTCGTTGCTTTTGCCTTCTTTTGCAGGAACGAGAGAGACGACAGGCCCGTGCAGCCCCCGCGGCTGGAAAAACCCGTTCCTCCCGACGGAACAGAATGTAGAGCCCGAGCTTTCGGAATCGCCTCGGCTCCCTTCCTCCTGCACGTGCGCGCTCGCCCTCCGTAGCTCCAGGCTGCGCAGTGGGAGAAGTCGCGCACATGTCCGTAGGGGGGAAAAAAGCCCTCGCAGGGGGAGATATGTTGTAGGAAAATAACAGAGCAGGAAGTGCCGTATCTATTGTTCAGCAGTCTGCCCCAGGCGTCCACTTTATTAAAAAAGACGAGATGGGGTTGCATATTGTAGCACTTTTCTTGAGCAGTAAGGCAAAGCAGTAGAAATTGACCTAGTGTTTTTCTGCCCTCACAATTGTAATATAGAGATTTTATAGCATATAAGCTTTATACTGTATATCTGCCATGCCTAATTGTGCACGCCCTCTTATCAGTGCAAAGCATGAGGCCTATTTAATCTCTTCCTTTACAGTTGTGTGCATAGTTAAGGAGTTTGGCTCAAGAATTTAATACAGGCCTTGGGGGATTTTTATTCTGTGATATGTTTAAATAACCATGTCACATTTCACACCTTTCTGCCATATGATTGTTGATACCGTCAATGAGAATACTGAAATGAAAATCAGATTTATTTTTAAATTCTAGCGCACCATACGGCCTCGACAACTCATTCAGGTAACTTGATAACTTGATGTTTTTTGTGCATAATAAAAATGAAGATGTCATGTTGGTGTTTTCTTATGTGAAAGGCCCTAAGTAGGAGAGGTTCTGTTCTTTGGGTTTTGTTTGGTTTAAGTATGTTGAAACAAGGTTGTTACAGATGAGGTAATTCTGATGACAAATTGAGTAAACAGGTTTATCAGCAATGAAAACCAGCAAAGTTTCATAGTCAGGAGTGGACTGTTTAAGAATACAAGGATAATATTGATCAGATTTAATAAGGCTGACACCAGCACCCTTGAAACTTATATTTAAGTAGCCTTTGACGTTCTGAATATGCAAGTTCACAATACTTCAAACCAAACTACTTCAGTCATGTCATTTTTGCAAAATATATTGTTACATGTTGGGGGGTAAAAATATATCTAGGCTTACATGATGATGTGCACAGTTTAGTGATTTGTTGACTTAAAGGTAAAACAAATGTAGTTTTATCTGAGAGCATTCTCAGATCAAACATGTATATCTGGAGTCAGTGTTCTTTTTCTATTTAAATAAATGTTGCTGTAATTCAAATTTGTTCTTTTATATGCGTTTGCAGGATTGTTGTGTGATGAGAATCCTGACATCTGTCTCTGTCCTGCAATGGATTGCCCACGAATTCCCCTGGCAGGGCTGTGTTTAGCAATCCGATTACACATTCTGCACTTTGATCGTAGTTAAATAGATTTTAACTTATGAAAGGGCTTTCCCAGTTTCACAATGCAAATTAAATTGCATATAACACTTCTGAAATATATATTTTTTTTTTCCCAACGTTTCTTATGTCTAACTGTGCCCTGAAGCTGTGGGTTCCCACTCTAATGGGAATAATGAATGGAGTAAAGTCTGGGTTAGGGTTTGATTTTGACACCTTGTTTAATCGAATTGCAATTGTGTGTATGTATATATATATGTGATGGTCAGCCAGCTTGTTTTGTGGATTCATTATGTCTAGTATAAGATTCTTAACAAAGACTTTTGCAATCTCCCTAATTAATATGCGAGACTCGTGGGTGGTTTGGAAGTTCTTTAAATGTTGTGGTATGCCCTGGCATGCAAGAGCATAATCCATGAAGAATAGCTCCAGGATAATTCCTCTCATTAGATTTTAATAGTAAGTGTACTGTATATATTTTAATAATTTAATTTAGTCCTGTGCCCTTTTAATGACTCCAGATCTGATGTCATGAGGATGGGGCTTTCATTGCCTCAACTGTATGATGCAGTTTTAAAAAAGGTAAAAGTAAGCAATATGGAAAAATCTGTTTTGAGACATTTCACCTATGCATATCAATATCTGCAGCTGTAAGCTTTTTAATTAGAGGTGTCTATACAACTGGCATCCCACTGAAGCTCAGCAGCTGTGAGCCTGGTCAGTAGCTGGAAGGGAGAGTGGGAAAGACATTAAAAAAAAAGTCTGCTGTTAACAGAAACCAAACAAAACAATCGTTATATTGTCTACATGAGACTGCAAATACTTTACAGAACAAATATGAATGGCCAAATTGTATTAAGGAAGCCATGTGTGATCAGATTGAAAAAAAAACATAGTACATTCAGGTATTCTCTGCTAACCTCAATTATGAATAAGACACTTCCAAAACTTATTATTGGTGTAATGATGCTGTTGTCTTTATTAATTACATTTCAATTATTGCACATCTGAGTTACCTGTACAAACATAGTGCAACTGCCTATACATATATATATATAGAATGAAAATACCATGCAGCATACAAACAAGTTAAATAAAAAGCTTTTTTTTTATACAGATAAAAAAGCTGCCCGCAGCTTTTATAGAAACAAGCGGAAGGCTGTACAATAGCTGAGCTGTGTAACAGCAGGTTCACGTCTTCCTCCAGAGAAAGATCTTCACCGTGACAATACTGAGGCTTGGGCTTCAGGGCGCATGTTATCATACAAAAGAATGGAAGGGTGGCTGGGAGCTGCACAGGAAAGAGGGGGCTGCGCCGGACTGGTTTACCAAGTCCAGTGCCGTCACGGCAATTTCTCTGGTTTCGAGTGGAAGGAAACCACAGTGTCCCTCCCACTGAGGAGGAGCCAGGCAAGGCGGCATTGCCAGAGTTTCTGGGCCAAAACTAGGCCCAATCCTAACCATCCAGGTGAAGAACTAAACACGGTTAATTAAATGGATTATCATACAATTAGCAAGGTGGCTGCTCCACAGTTTTGCAATGGAGCTTTATTTCTAAGGGAAGTATTGGAAAGCCCCAGTCGTCTGGAGAGAACTTCAGCAGCTTCTACATGTTGAGGGGAAGATTTATTTGGTCCTACTTATTCAGATATGGCTTACAGCTTTGGGGTGATTTATGCAATGCCTATGAGTGGTAAGTTTAGATAACACAGTAACAACACGTGGCCTATAGGGGGAGCATTGATTTTTTTGATTTTTAAATGCCAGTATGGACAAAACATTTTTTAGTTTTATCTTAAAACGTATTGTAAAAGTATTCCCTCTTAAGTATTTTTTTTTTAAGAAAAAGTTGATTTATATGAAAAACAAATATAAACTAGGTTTAAAAATAAAAAAAACCAACCTTTTCAGTTTACCAAGTCTCGTTACTGTACCTTATTTGTAAATGAAATGGTAAGTTCAGCGGGTGTAAGAAGGAGGTTATTATGTGGTGGCTTGCTTCAGTTTTGTTTAACTGGGCTACTGGTGTTAGTGTAACATTTACAACGCTATATATACCAGAGCGGAATTTCACAGTGTTACAACGAATGTGTACTGAAACCGACAGTTTAACAATTGGTCATTTTGGATTGAGTAAGTGTGTATATGCAGTGAAAATCCAAAAAACAGTCATGATGAAATTCACAGACCAGTGATAGCACCAGGATATAGTCTGACCAGAAACCACAGTTGGGTCTTGAGCCTTTGCCAAAATCTTATGTAAATTACTGGTGAACACTCATTGCTGACCTGGGAACTTGAGGCAGAACAAGTCATCTGAAAGTGTGTCAGGTGTTCAGTGTTTCATCTGCACTGAAATTTGCACTTGAGGAATAGCACACAAGCTAAGGTCAACTGGTGTCAACGCTGAAGAACAGTTATAGGGTATCATTCAGTGTTTCCAAGAGACATAGGAGTACTTTCATTCAATTTTGATTAAGATTTGAACAAGCTTTGTGGTTAAGTGAATTCTATGCTGAATAAAAATAGGAGATCTATTAGCTGTCAGGATACTGTTTCAGATGTAAAGCAATGGCAATAGCTCTCATATAATATTACGAGCCAATATCTCGCTGTAACCTTCAGACACGTTTCTCCAACAGTTCTGTGCCCCTGTAAAAGTGCCCCAGGTTTGTTCCAGGAAAGGAAAAGTCAGATCTGTCAGTGACACCAGCAGCTACCGGCTCCAACATCTGGTTTGAATTCTTGAATTAGTCCTCCCAAGTTCACAGGGCCAGTTACATCAACATCTCCAGGAAACAGAGTGCAAACTGGAGCTCTGGGTTAAAGACCTTGAGAATTTGATCAACTTCTTTTCTCACAGAATCTGGGACAGCACTGTGGAGCTCCGCTGACACTTGTGTGAGTTTTTGTGACAAGGATCAATAAACTCTGAAGACCACATCACAAGCGCTGCTGTTATGAAAGAGAATGTTACCTTTTGTTGGATCTCTGGAGAAACACCTCCAGGTTTTGCAAAGTTTAGCAAACCATGTGAAGTTCATCGGTAGGCATCAGTGGAAAAGAGCCCACCTTCTGTTTCCTTCCTTTCTGTAGGCCTTGGCGTGGGTGCTCAAATGAGTTGTGAAGGCAGTTCCAGGACAGGCAGTGACAAACAGAAGCTCTCTCTCTCTGTTCTGCTCTTCTGGCTTTGGTGTTGGCGCGCTGCGCTGATGTAGGCGTTCATTAGCTGGGCGATTTCATTCAGCTGCAAGAAATCAAAAAAGGGTTAAAAGGACTACAAGGCTCAAGCAGAAGTACCCACTTCAGACAGGCTGCATTTGTTCATTTACGTGACATTTTTTTCCTTTATTTGCTTTGGTTTTTCCATTATATTCTGACCACCTTTATTTAGTGGTCATATTCCAGCTGGTAATACTATGATTTTACTTATTAAGTATACAGTTAGTACTGTACAGCTACTTTGCTTTAAATACCTGTCCCTAAGTCCACCAATTAACTTTGATCAGAGTGCAGGCTATGTCTGGGCCATGTCACTATCTGAATAACTGGGACTCCTGTAACGCTGCCCAGGAGAAAACATCCACAGCCAAGAGCCAATGTACTTCTCAGCCAGCAGATGGCTGCTTGCTTGTTAAATGAGCACAGAATTATTGCTAAGGGTGCTAGAGCAGTTGTGTCCCACTATGCTGCCCATGGTATCACTGGATGGTGAAGTGAATTTCAGTCGTCTGTCTCCTGATCACATCTCTTGCTTTCCAAGAGGGCTTGGAAGGCGCAGGACACCCAAGTCCCCCCTATTAAGCCTCTCTGCATCTGAGCAGCTGTGCTGGGGCTCATGTCTGTGGCGTCGCGGTGCCCCGTATGACTGTATACTCCCAGCTAGCGGCTCTGCAGTCTGCGCATCTTCCTGCACCAATAAATAAAATCAAAGCCACTCTTGTGCCCGAAAGAGTTCACAGAGAAGCCTTTGTTCCCCGTGGGCAGAACTAAACCAGTTCTCAACTTGAAAGGGACAGTTTGTTCCTACACAAAGGCCTCGTGGGGAGATCAGAGGTCATTAAAATGTTTTTATAACCTATAAAAAACCTCTGTAATTTACGGGTAAAAACATAATCAGCACTTCCATTTCCTAGTAATTAGTAGTGGGAAAAATGGATGTTCAAAATTTCAATATGGTGTGTCAGATTGGCCCTTAACGTGGAAATCTAATGCAGTTTTTTTTAACAGTATGGTGGAGATGAACAACTTGGGCGATATTTAGATTAGACCGCATTTCTCATGCTGGGCATCACAGGAAATGCAGGTTTGTGTTTTATGTGTCTACGAACCCATTCAAAGCCAAACCCCAACCAGAATATCTAAGTAAGATATCTCCCTTCTGTTTACCTGGAAAAATAAACAAATCATTGTCCCCTAAATTGTGTTTGAGCACCTCTTCAGATTGCCTCCTTTAAACCTTTATGTGAACACTTTTGAATAAACACCCCCCTTTGTGATAAAAAATGAACTCGCTGGCATAAAAGCCTGCACATGTCCTGCTCCTAGTGCACAGTTTAACGCTGGTGAGCAGTGATAAAGCCCAGCACTGGAACAGAGGGGAGGGAACTGCTGCAGCAGGCGAGCTGTGGATTTAACAAAGGGAAGGTTGGAGATTTTGTCCGCCCTCCGAGCTCCTGCGAGTTACCTTGCTGGTTTCGAAGAGCAGGTCCCGGTCTCCCGCCGTGATTTTGAAAGTGTTGTTGTCCGTCACTCCGTAAGAACAGATCTGTCCATAAGGGAAGGACTCCAAAGGCTCAGACTCTCCCTGCCTGTACAGCGCCACTGACTTAGCAGCCACTCCCAGCCACAGCTTCTGGGAGAAACTGCCTGTAGAGCTCTGGGGATTGAAAGAAAGACACGTCAGATCTTTACCTTGGGTAAATGAGACAGCTGCACTTAACATGACAAGCAAAGTAACTGATGAGCAGCCTTGGGGCCGGAACAGTGGAAAGCAGAGTAACTGATGAGCGGCCTTGGGGCCGGGACAGTGGAAAGCAGAGTAACTGATGAGCAGCCTTGGGGCCAGGACAGTGGAAAGCAGAGTAACTGATGAGCGGCCTTGGGGCCGGGACAGTGGAAAGCAGAGTAACTGATGAGCAGCCTTGGGGCCGGGACAGTGGAAAGCAGAGTAACTGATGAGC